GGCGAATTGTTTCGGTTTAAAAACCACTGAGGTGACTTTAGTTCTCAAAGAGATGGATTGAACACAAAATCACATCAATGATATGTTCAAAATGTACCTAAATATGGGCTTGTTTCTGGCACAAACAAAAAAGCTTCAATGACACCACTGAAAAAAGGCAATGAAAACACTTAGCATTAATAAACTGAATAATTAGGACCAAAATAGCTGTATCCTCAAAGCAAATACAAAGTCATTGCCAATATCAGTTGTTGTAGAAATGCAATAAACTTTATATTAGTAACTGGTATAATTTGAGCAGTGCTGTATAATTGGTGTAAAGTGCTCTTTCTGCTAGCACAGGTTTAAACATATTTGGCTCAGAAAGGTATGCAAGCTAGCGTGTTAACCAAGAAAGGTTTGTGCAATTAAAAGGTGAGTGCATGTTGTAGATTAGCATGCGTTAGCTTAGCATGGTCTTTGTTAGCATACTGGGAACGGGGAGCTGGTGTGTTGACTTGGCAATGAACTCTGCCTGCTGTTGAACCAGTCGCAGCCTTGCAGACTAATTAATATCCATGCTACAGTTTGTGTGCAGTTGAATATGAGAGTGTGTCTGTGTGGAAGCATGCATTTTCTTAAAAAAAAAAAAAATCAGGAGGTGCTTAACCTTCAAAATATTATTTTACAAGCCTGTTAGCCATATGTAAATACAGGTAACCTAATTTGTGTGATTTTGCTATTGCATTCAAACAATAAATTGACCAAAAAAATGTATAAAAAAAAAATAAAAATAAAAATAAATAAACCTAAAATTTGAAATAAACTGTGCTGATAATGGTAAAATATCAGGTCAGATTCAAGGACTCACACAATATTAATTAATATTAATTTGTATGTGTGTGTGTGTACACATAACACATATATACATTATATGCTAACATATGTTATATTCATATACTAATTAATATTTAAGAAATTAAGAAATTCATACAGTTATACAATGCATTAAATTCACAAGTAAAGATTGGTAAAAATCTCTATTTGACATTTTTCTATAAATCTATTTATTATGTTTTTTTTATGTTTAGTCAAAGAATCCTGAAAAAGTATCGTAGTTTCCACAAAAATATTCGGCAGCACTACCATTTACAACATTTATAATTAGAAATATTTCTTGAGCATCAAATCAGCATATTAGAATAATTCCTGAAGGATCAGGTGATCCTGAAGACTGGAAACTTAAAATACAGCTTTGCCATCATAGGAAAAAAAAATTGAAAATAAAATAAAATAAAATCTGTAGGAAGGGTCAAAATAATATTATCTTAAAAAAATACAAAATTCTTAATTACAAACTTAAAACAAATCACTTTTCTTTCTAGTTTTATTTTTTTGTGATATAACAGAAATGTTTCTTCAGCACTAAATCAGCATATTAGAATGATTTCTGAAGGATCAGGTCATACTGAAGACTTAAAATGGATTTGAAAACAACAAAACAAAACGGTCAAAATAAGACTATCAATAGTGTTTCTTTCTTTTTAAGATACAGATATCTGACAAACGAATTAAAACTAATTACAAATTTAAAACTAATTACTTTTCATTCTAGTTTTATTTTTGTAATATAGCTGTTAAACATATCTAATAGTTCTCGCTCTAAAAAAATAAAAAAATATTGGCCGTTATGCCTCTAATGCTTTAAAAAATAATGGACCAAAGTGTACCATATTGGTGGAATGTGCCAGTCGGCAGTGGGGGCACTGCCCCCTGTCAGTGGGCTGGCACAGAGATTAGCATCCCATAGCTTTGATCTGTGCTGTGTCTAACGTGATTAACCATAGAGAACACAGCCAATGCCAGTCTGGCTTGAGATCTCGCATGGCACGCATATTTGTAATGTGTCTGTGTTTGCATTTGTGTATGTGTATGTGTATGTGTGAGCGCACTTGTTTGCATTTGTATGTATTTGTCAGTATAGCTGTGAGATGCTCAGTGTGATGTTGGGGAGGGAAGTGTTTCCCCATCCTGATCTCTCCTCCTCTGTTGTGCATACTGGGATGTATTTATCAGTCAAAAACCCTCCACGCCATATTGTGAACAACAACAACAAATGCACAAGTAATCCAAAACTCCATGCAAATCTAAACTGCCTCAAAGACAGTAGCAGCTCATATAAGCTCAACTCACAATAAGCATACTTCTCATTCTGCAAGTTGGAATTTCTCTTGATTTCCCAAGATTATTACTCAGCGGGATGAATCTTAAAACCAAGCATAAGAGGCATCAGAATGAATACAAAAGCCATATGAACCAATAAAAATGATGCCCCATGACAAAATTAATATTTTACTTGAGTTGCAGTCCAAATAGTATGTGATATGATAACGAGAGTTATCCTCACAGAACAATTCCATAAAACACATCAATATTTTTACATAAACAGTATTGTATTTATGAAAAAACTCACAAACATAATTAATACATAATAATTTAGGCCCTATTTTTAATTGTAACTTTTGTAATGTACAAATTTAGGGGGTCCCCTGTATAATTTACATCAACAGTTAAGATGATGACTTTCATATGTCAGAAAATGGACATAACAATATTGCAACAAAATGATATCAGGAAATCTATCAATAATATTATTCTGATTAAATTTGCATGTCTGTTTTTATACTGCATAGAAGTCACAAATATACTGTATGTTTACACGGAGGAGCAGATTTTGTCAGGTGAACTGCTTTCGTGGAGCAAAGGAAAGATTTGAGAAGCAGCTCCATTTTAGAACATTCTTGTTCTGCATTAAGTGTTTGGTTCAACATTTAAATATACACTGCTACACAGCAAGCCAAAAGGATTATTGTAGCCTAAAATATCAACATTGTGTTAATTTCAATGCTCGTGTGACATCCCTACTTGTGGTTCGCACAGGGCTGTCAGGATTTCTGGTACACTGCCTTGAGCAACTAAACTCCAGGTGGATTGTTTCTGTAATAAGTGTACTGCAAGTCGCTTTGGATAAAAGCATTAGCTTAATGACTAATTACATACAAGGGAAATAACATTTTCCTGGTTATGTTCCCTTGGTGACCCCTCTAAGTGATAGGTGAACTTCTGACTTCATGTGCTTAAACTGGCAACTACTCAAACATATTGTGAGCTTGTTATTAGCAACAACTACACAAAAAAGAGAAAGGGGCACTATGATTTCCCAAAAACCCCACTAAATCTCTTTAAAAGGACAGAAGGGAATGAAACAAGGACACAAAGTGAGGGATCCAGAGAGAGCTATGAAGTGTTTACCTCTCCCCAGAGTCCTTCTCTCCTGCCTACATACACTCTTTCCTCATAAAACCAGCGTCTTACACATCTGTCTAAACTAGCTGCCTCTGTCTTTTCTTTTGTTTTGTTTTGTTTTCTTTTGTTTTCTTTTGTTTTCTTTTCTTTTCTTTTCTTTTATTTTCTTTTCTTTTCTTTTCTTTTCTTTTCTTTTCTTTTCTTTTCTTTTCTTCTTCTTTCCACCATTCAAAAGTATGGGACCAGTGAGACTTTTCATCTTCGGAACACAAATTAAGATATTTTTGATGGAATCTGAGAGCTCTCTGACCCTCCATAGACAGCAAAGATATTACCACGATCAACACACAGAAACGTAGCAAGGACATCGGTAAAATAGTCCATGTGACACCAGAGGTTTAACCGTAATTTTACGAAGCAACGAGAATACTTTTTGTGCCCAAAGAAAACAATAATAACATAATTTATTCAGCAATTCTTCTCCCCAAATTACCGTTACTCTGATGTCACATGGACTATTTTACTGATGTCCTTGCTACGTTTCTGTGTGTTGATTGTGGTAATATCCTTGCTGTCTATGGAGGGTCAGAGAGCTCTCAGATTCCATCAAAAATATCTTAATTTGTGTTCTGAAGATGAACAAAGATCTTACGGGTTTGGAACGACATGACATATTGTAATAATATTACTGTTATTGTTTATATTGTTATATATATTATTGTGTATAATTGTACTTTTTTATGTAATGACAGACTTTAACCTGTTGAACCATTTTCAGACAGATTTCCTGAACACACTTTATGTCTGCTATTGGTCGATTAAACCAATGCTTTTGGGTTAAGGTGACTGGGGTGCTCAATCAAACGAAGCAAGAGTTGTAAAGCTGCTTGTTTGGATCCATTTAGGACTCACGGAAAGTGTGCAACTACATTACTATGGAACGTTCCTCACATCTAATCACACGATGTAATGAAGCATACGTGTGTGTGTTTGTCGGGATGTGAGGGACATGAGCAGATCACTCTGCTGTGAAGCAACACATTGATCATTGTGTCAGGCCTGGGGGAAAGGTTAAGCCGCGTGGCACTGCCCTCCGCTCCTGAGTGTGCCTGCCGGTCTTATCAGGATGTGAAAGAGCAGGAAAGGGCAGACGATTCCCAGGACAGCATCTGACCTTCACTAATCCAACAACCTCACTCTTCTGCTTTAATTAACATAAAGGAAGTTGAGGCGGCGCTTTCTCAAACAAAAGACAAGACAAGCGAGAGTGTGTGTAGGTGACTCACCTGAGCAGAGGGAGTGCAAACACTCACATAGATACACTCATTAAGAAAAATGCTGAGTTGTAGCTGCTTTGAATAGTACATTCGTTCCTATATGCTGAGCCAGGTTGTAATACATACTATACACAACCTTGTGTTTCAAAGACAGTGTGTAAGTGTGTGTTTTTATTAAAGCTCAATGTTAAAATACTTTCTCCTAACCTAGTTTAATATATAGAGACAATTAGAAGCGCACCATGTGAAGGCTGTTTTTCCCCAAAATATAATACACTGCATTTCAATGGTGCATTGAAACATTAATTTGTTTATTTAAGCATCCAGCCCAACACCGACTCAATGCCTTGGTTTTTGGGGCAGGACAATCAAAGGAAATTTCAATAGTATATATTTTTTTTCACCAAAACGTTGCTGCTTTACTTTGTGGATACTCACTGGGTCTTGGTTCATTTGGACAATGAGTTGTTTGACGGCATGTAGAGTGGGATGGGCCCAAGGGGAAGGGTCCTGCCAATGACGGTTCAGATCGAAGCCCAGTAGAGAACACCTTCAATAAATGCAAAGAAATCAACCATTCAACTCAATAAAACAATGACAAAACATCAATACCTTCAACTTTTTTGGCAGACCTCACAGAAAGCAAAATACTGTGCAAAGTGATACTATCACAGTGAATATGAACATATTTGATGTTTAATAGGTAACTATGAGGAGACTTTGGACCAGTGAGATTCCATGTGGGCAGGGCTGTGAGACCACAATCTTTCATGTAATTTACTATTGGGTTTGAACATCACAGATAAGCTCAAATTGAAATCCACACACATTCTGTGGTCAGAACTGCAGAAAAATCACACAAACACACACACACACACACACACACACACACACACAGTACATGTCCACTTGTGCGGAGCGAGCAAGAGAGATGAGGGGCAGGCTCATGCAGGGCATTGTGGGATTGACAGCGGAGAGGTAAAACGTTGTGACATATTCAACATTATGCAAATAAGAGGTGAAAAACATCAAATCGCTGTGAGAATGAACGCTGTGGCGTCTGTCATAAACATTTCAAAATCAGCAGATTTGCATTCATTAGAGTTTCTGGTTGGTTCACGTACTTAAATTACATATGACTAATTTTAATTCAGATTTAAAAGTTTACACAGTTTCATTGTGGCTCTACTATAATAATTTACAGTATATGTAATACTTCAATGAACATATTTTAAAGGTAGAGTTGCTTACCCTCCATCCATGATGTAGATGAGTTTGTTTGTTCATTGGAACAGATTTTGAAAAATTACATCACTTTCTCACCAAAAGGATCCTCTATAGTGAATGGGTGCCATCAGAATAAGAGTTCAAACAGCTGATTAAAGCATCACAATAATCCACAAGTAATCCACACAAGTCCAGTCAATCAGTTAACATCTTATGAAATAAAAAGCTACTATATGTGTTTGTAAGAAGAAAAAAAAAACATCAGGCATTTTAACCCTAAACCACTGCTTCTGGACAAAATGCAAATCCACAATCCATTATTGTGATGCTTTTATTGGCTGTTTGAACTCTCATTCTGACGGCACCCATTCACTACAGAGGATCCATTGGTGAGCAAGTGATGCAATGCTAAATTTCTCCAAATCTGATGAAAAAACTAACTCATCGTGGATGGCCTGAGGATGAGTACATTTTCAGCAGATTTTCATTTTTGGGTGAACAATCATGACACACACTAAAGACAACCATACTGCTCTACATTTACAGACAGAAAGTGACGTCTGGTGTTTTGGGCAATACTAAGAGTTTTCTTCTTCCACACCATTGGACATGTACAGGTCTCTGTTTGTTATTTTCCTTTCCCTGAGGCAGTGGACTGATGTGAGGAATGGACAGATGCCTAAGTCCCTGCTGCCGTCCAGCTGAGACTCTGTGACTTTGAGCTGAACCTGTAGTCAATGCTGCTGCTCTCAAAACAACACTAATCCCCAGTCAGCAAGGATTGATCCCATGTCCCCTCCTGCACCTGCTTTCTCTCTCTCTCTCTCTTGACCAAAAGACTACTGATTCAGCACAGAGGGAGAGAGAGAGATGGATCTGATCTCTAATTATGGACCTCAATGGCTCTCGTTGAGGCAGCATCGGTTAAAGTTGCTGTCGAGAGCACCTTTAAGGGTCAGTGGTGGCGTATGTCGTATGTCAGTCCTGTCACCACCACTGAACCATTGATCCGCCTCTGCAGCTCTGCAGTTCATGAGAGCCGTCACAAGGTGGCAGCCACTGACGCAGTTTCTGCGGGCCTATGGGAAAACACAGCGAGCCTCCGATGTATTCAAAATGATCGCCACCATTATATAAAAGCCAATAATGGGATTAGGAGTGAAGATAACACCTGCCGTGCGTGACCAACTGTAGCCCTAGTGTAGAGAGGCCACTGCACACACACAGTTGTATTACAATTCACTTTTGTAGACTTTCACTTCACTTGTGTAAAATGTATCATAAAATACTGACAGATAAGGGGCTTTGAGTATGATGACATAATATAATAATAATAATAATAATAACTGTAAGATTTGTGTTTTTGAAATAAATTTCTTATGCTCACCAAGACTGCATTTATTTGATATCAAATACAGTACGAACAGTAATATTGTGAAATATTATTATAATTTTAAATAAATGCTTTCTTTTTAAATATGTTTGAACATGTAATTTATTACTGTGATGTCAAAGCTGAATTTTCAGCAGCCATTACTTCAGCATCACATGATCCTTCTAATATGCTGATTTGGTGATTAGGAGACATTTATGATTATTATCATCAATGTTAAAAACAGCTGTGCTGCTTTATATTTTTGTGAAAACCATGAAACATTTTTTCAGGCTTCTTTGATGAATAGAAAGTTTAAAAAGAACAGCATTTATTTGAAGTAGATTTTTTTTGTAACAAGGTAAATCTTTACTGACACCTTTGAATGGCATCCTTGCTGAATAAAAGTAAATTAAAATGAATAAAACTGATTAAAAAAAATTTTCTGACCCATACATATATTTTCAATGATGGCATTAAATAAAATGTAATAAATAAATAAATGATAACATTTATATATCTAATAATATACACAAAATATCTATTATATTCAAATTACTATGTGATACTGGAAACTAATATATGCCTGTTGCAATAAAAATACAATGTAAATATAATACAATTTAAAATATTATATTATGTGCACGATTGTTCATTTCAGCTGACCTGTAGTTTCCCAGGTACACGCCGTCAGGGTTGAGCATGGGAACGATCTTAAATATCACATGATCACGCAGGACCTGAGCGATGGGATGCTGGCTGACCAGAAAGTCGATGACACCTGCAGGAAAGACAGATACACACAATAAAGTATAACGCAGGACACGCAAAAGAAGTTCATCATATCAAATTGAGTTTAAAATACAAAATAATAATTGGACAGCAAATGGCATTAAAACACCAGCGAAGGATATCCGAGTCACACATCTCCAGTCAACACAAATGAAATAGACCAGACAACAGAATGAAAGAGAGAGATTTGAGAAACAAAGATCATACTAATTAGAGCTACAAAATGAGAAAGAGACACAGACAGAGGCCAGACGGAGAGAATGGCAGAGAGTGAGGCATGTCGATAGTGGCGGTCACCAGTTGTCCTTCCATTTGCCCTGTACTGAAAGCGAATAACTGACAGGTAAACAAGAAGCATAGAAAGAGAGCGCAGGAGTGTGTGTGTGAGAGAGGGCAGACCCCATCTTCCTCAACCTCTCACCCACTCTGTCCTGCTCATTAGTGCTAATGGAGGCATAACAAGCTCTCTAATTGAGTCAATGTGGCACAGAGGCAGGCCACACTGCTATGCTATCTAATTGCTTGAAGTTCCTATATTTATTCATGCATATCCGCATGTGTGTGTGTTATTAAGGTGGCAGGGCAGGTGACTCTGAAGCTTCGTACTGACCGAACTTCAGCTAAGCGTAAAAGCCCTCTTCAGAATTACAACAAGGCCGAACTCAATAATTAGCTGCATGAAGATTTAGGCTGAGACGAACCACTATAAACCACATCAAATGACAGTCCTAAATTATTTGGATGCACACAGAAGTTATAGACTGATTGTTTTGTTTTCAGTGGCAAATTATAATGCAGGATGACAGACGGCAGAAGTCATGCAGATATATGCACAGTTCTATAATACACATATACAAACAATACTATTTAATTTTGGTAAATGAAACAAAAACAATTAAATTTCATTTAACATTTTAGAAAATGTGAGTGTTGTGGGTGGTTGCCAATGCCTGATGGCCAACATCTAACACTAACACACAGCACTTCCTTGAAATATTTTAGGACAGGGTTCTTCAAACATTTTCAGCTCAAGGGCCCTATAATTACCTGAGTATGGTACATTATTAATATATTTACATACTTTGATTTTAGAGACATGTCATGACTATTATATGCAGTATATACACACAATGAATATAGAATGGATGCATCAAAAGTAACAGCAAAGACATTTATAATATTACAAAAACATTTCTATTTCAAATAATTGCTGTTCTTTTCAACTTTCTATTCATTACAGAATCCTGAAAAAAATGTATCATTGTTTTCACAACAAATATTAAGCAGCACAAAAGATTTTTAACACTGAGAATAATAAGAAATGTTTCTTAAGCACCAAATTAGAATATCAAAATGATTTCTAAATGATCATGTAACACGGAAACTGGATTAATGGCTGCTGAAAATTCAGCATTACCATCATAGGAATAAATTGCCTTTTAAATTAAAATTAAATTAAATAGAAAACATTTTAACATTTACCTTTTTTTCAAGAAATTATGAGTGGTCATGAGTAAAACTCATCACCATGTGGTTTCCTGGATGTTGCTTTAGCTTTGTTGATATTTAATTGATATTGTATTTTTGTCCAAACGCATATTTTCATTTCAGTTTGAGATTCAACTAGTTAGAGCTGAAACAAAAACTAGCCGACCTCCTTCAGTACCGCAGCATACTTTCTGTTGAAGACCCCCATTTTAGGGTAACAAAGATAGCCGATAATGATTTTACATTAAGCTTTGGAAACCTCTAACATAATCCACCTGTGAAAAGACTGCACTGTATCATCATTTGTCAAGGACACTTTCAGGAAAGCCATGTCTCTGTATTGTAACGCAGAGTGAAAGCAGACTTTTTCTATAGAATTGATGTTATTGATGGTATTGCTTTTGAAATCTGGGCATTTTGTCAGACTGTTGTGTCAGCCAGTGTTGTGCTCCGTGACAGGTAAGGTCTTTGCATCACCGGCTTTAAACAGATTTAGGAGTGATGCAGAGAAGGTGAGCTGACACTTCCTCTAATCTTCCATACACTCCCTGACCTCCTGTTTTTCTGTTCATCCGTTGACCTTCACTCACAGCGGAGCCAAGCCATGCGCCGAACTTAAAGTACAAAAAGAAAAGCGTTCTGATGAATCACAGAGGCCCACCGAGGCCAACCGTCCTTATCGTTGGTCAGTGTTTTGTATTTCAGCAGATTACAGGATCTCAGGACATCATCGTGCTGTGTATGTGTGTCGAGACGAGACAAGGTCTTACCCTGACAGATGAAGGAAGCAGGTGATTCTCCAGGGTGAACGCGGGCTGAGAGAAACACCACCCTCTTTTCTCGCTCTTGGTTCAGATGGGCTGAAACACACACACAAACGCAGAAAGGTTAGTCTCAGCAGGTAGGGGTCTTGGCAGGACAGTGTATGTGTGGTCAGGAGACATATGTCTGGGCCCAGGAGTTTCAGACCTTAGACATGCAGCAGGAAACCCAGTATGACAAGACAGGAGTGATAGGAAATGTCAGAGCTAATGAAGACTCCACAGGAGGACAAAACACAATGGGCTACTGATCGCAAGAGCAGGAGAAAAACATCTTGTGGCTGGCGAACGTACATGGATCCTCAAGCGCCTACATCTTTTCAATTAAGACTTTAACTACACCAATTTAATATTAAATTAATAAAAGCGCCCACCCTGAAGTCTCTATGATGAGGTCTAATGTTCTAGATCTCTTTCAATGTACGTTTATTGGATTTTTTTCAGTTTTGTTGGATTTCTTAGAAAATGAATAGCACTCCTCTTTTCGTCAAGCTTTATCAAAAACGCTGCGGGATGAATCGTTGCTCAGTAATACAGATGCTTTCCTTAGTATGTACCACTAATTAGCATTTATTTAAGGCAGTATGTACTCAGTATTTACTAAAAGCAGAAGTTTATTATCCATCCCCATCCACTTAGACCATTTATGTAAATTAAGCTGCAAAAATGGGTCATTCAGAAACAGCCATTAAAAGTTATTAAAGACAGTAAGAAATATACCAGTTTGTAGAGGTTGGCCAATCATAATAGAGGTCATTTATATATAGAACACTTAAAGTTATAGCAAATAGCCTGTTTAATTCAAAGGGTCAGAGATAGGGGTAAAACGTTCATATAAAACTAAACTGTTTTGGTTTACAAAAACCTGAAAAACCTTATAAGCAGGCTTTAGGGAATATATTAAAAGCTACTTTTTTTGTCCCTTTTAGATTTTCTGGCAGATAGAAATGTTAAGGTCACTGCGTTTGAATAAATTCAATGCTGTCAATAGAATAAGTATAGAATAAAATAATAAATAAAATGAATCTGATGATTCCCAGACAGTATTTAGAAAGCACAACAAAACCTATGTTTTAAAACATATGTCAATTTTTGCTGAATTCCATTTATTAATATAAATATCAATGTCAATAACAACAACAACAACAATAATAATAATAGGACTTTAACAAACATTATAACATGCTACAAAACTATATGAACCTTTTAAAAGTTATAGCCCTTTCTTAGTTTTTGGCAGATAGGATTTTAAGGTTACTGTGTTTTTAAATGAATTCTATGTTAGGTACTTCATCATGGATGCAATAATAACTCCTAGATCTGTTTCCAGATATTTCGTCCTCTTCTCCTCTTTTACAATCTCCAATATGATACAGAGAGGAATTTAATGCAGCGTAAATCAAATCAGTCCCTCTTTGTGAGCGATGCCAGTTGGGAATGGAATGGGAATACCATTCAAGTTAATGAAAAGAAAGGCTGGACGAATGTGAAAGGACTGCCAACAAAAGCTCCTCTTTAAAAGTCTGATGCGCTTCCAGGCAGAGAAGCGAGCACATTTTAGTCTCAGAGCACTCCGTTCCTTAAGGCTGGACGCTACAGGAACGTGCACGATGGGGAATTCGTTCGGCCTTCACGGTTTCCTCTTATCGGTTTGTGCCGTGGGTTGTCCAAACAGGTAAGCCAGAAATAACTTTTTCTAGCAAGAAAATCACATAATGACCAAGAATTTACACCTGTAGGGAAATAAAAGCACAAGCGCGCACACACACACTTGCAGTATATAAGGCCACTGTTATCACTTTCTATTAGCAGGCACATAAATAAAATACATAGAGTTTTTAAAGGACAGAGACTGATGACTAAAAATGCTAAATTGGTCTTTGAACTAATATGGATGATTCTATTCAATGCAGAAGTAATGCATCAAGAGGAAAAATGAACATGCACTGTCTTACGTGTGTGTTTGAGTCAGAGGAATATCACAGAATTAATAAGGCACAAACGCACATGCGTGCTGATGCCTCAGCAGTCTGAGGAATAGCAGAACACAGGTCAATCCTCAAAGATATCCTCCTCACTTCCAGACTTGACCACAAATGAAACATTAAAATATCCAAATGCATTATTCAGCAGGCTCCTTGAATATTATATCCATCCATCACTAGCTGTAAAGACAAGCATGGCCTAATACATTATGTCTATGGTGACTCGGGCTCCCGTGGGGCCATCTTTAAGTCTGTAAAGGATTGCGAAGACTGAAGGGAAATGATTAGAACTGTACCTGAGATCATTGTGGCAGTTTTGCTCTTAAAGCAGTTCAAGGAAGCCTGTCGTCTCAAAGGTGGCTTTTACTAGTAGTAAGAGGGATTGGATTTATAAAAATCTACTGTGGTAACAACAGCTTCTGCCAACGTACAGTTATTGCTACTACAAGAAAAATGCGGTAAATTCACCACCACTTTCATCATAGAAAGAAACGCTAGATTGTTCCAGTCCTGAAAGCTGACTGGTCAATAAAGTGTTCCAGGTATATACAGTATTACATAATATCTCTGCACACCACCCTAGGATTTTCAAACTTTTTGATGCCACAGACCCCAAAACATGATTACAAAGGACTCCTTCCTAAAATACAAAAGGTGACTTCATATTATAAAATAAGACCCACTTTATACTGTTAAAAATGTAAAAATAATAAATGCCAAAATTGTATTATCTGGAAAATGTCAAAAGTGTAGTTTCTACTAAGCTGAATGAAACAGTGATTATTATTACTGCATTTTTCTTTTTGTACAATAATTATTTATTATTTATCATCTTTCTCTAAACTCTTCACTGGCCCCAGCACTCCCTTGTTCCCTCCCATAAAGACCATGTTGTTTTAATTTTAATTTGCCTAAAAATATTGTTTCAATAATATTTAATATACTACTACTACTATTAATAATTATACTACTACTACTAATATTTACCATCATGGTCACACTTTTAAGGTCCAATTCTCACTATTAACAAACCATTAATTATGACTTTTGCCTCTAAAAACTCCTAATTTGCTGCTTATTAATAGTTAGTAAGGTAGTTGTTAAGTTTAGGTATTGGGTATAGGATTAGGGTTGTAGAATATGGTCATATAGAATAAATGCGTTATAAGTACTAATATGTTAATAATAGGCATGCTAATAAGCAACTAGTTAATAATCAAAACTGGTCCCTATACCAAATATTTTTATGTAATATAACATAGTACATTCATATGCATTATTTTAAATAATGTTTTAGAATATTATTATAAACTAATTTAATATGCAATTATATTATGATATTACAGTAGTATTATTATACAGTACTATTTGTTTATAGTTGTAACAATGATGGTGGGTGTCCTCCATAGTACATTTCTGTAAGGGTAGTTTCCATCCTTTTCATAGTCACTGCACAGGGTGTAGCAGAAAACCCCACTGCAGAGAACAGATGATTATCTGTCATGTAAAACAACTGTTACCACATGGATGCACGTGTACACACACACACATATACACCATTCTCCCATGAGACTGCCTTGTCTTGTATGGCCGGTCAATAATATATCACGGCCTTTCTTGCTGTGTCCTAAACGACTCCGGTGATTGTTGAGCTCATTGCTATGTACACAAGCCTAATATCTTATTGATCTCATCTGGGTTTGTGCTGAGCTGCAGGAAATGCTGATTGCCGCTATGCTACGTTCACCCATATATATTCTAATCTGCTTCCTGTGGGCCTGAAAACACTTCAGCATGGGCTGCAATCATAAAACATTCGTCGAATTTTACAGGAAAATTTCTCTCGCCGCCTCTCCCCCCTCTCTGTCCTTCACAGAGATGGATGGATGGCTTTGCCATTCAGAAGTCTCAGTGGAAAGGCTCGGGCGTTTGCTGGAAATGTGAGCACTTGCGTTTCAGCAGGCGCCGGGTGTGCGGCTCCATCAGTTATAAATCCCACCTCGGGCCCGACCCGCCTCAAACAAGCCAGCGGATGTAAAACAATGCAGCAGCCTGGAGGCAAATGCTACACTTAGACGTGCGGGACAGATGGGGCGAGCCTTGTGTTTACCTTGTGCCTATAGACCTCCCTCCCCATTAAAGCGAACAGCCCTGAAACATTCATTACGAGTCACTTGCAGCCATTCCATACGGTTCTTTTCGGAATTAATACTCTGTAAGATGTATTTTTAATGTTCATTTGCGTCAGTGTTTTTATCAGCGTTTTCCAGAAGGCCCGCAGCTTAGCAGAGAGCAAACGTTTATCTTTATGTTGATAACTGCTTCGTGAGCTCTCTTTCTTTTCATTTCTCTTACTCTCAAAACACAACACATGTCGGACTTGGAGTCCTTTGACCTGCAGGTGGTGCTAAAGATCAACAACAGGCATCCAATTCACCACCTCCAACCCTGCAGAAAAGGCAGAAAAAACTCTTATGAAACAAGACAAATGTGCTTTAGCAATCGGTAAAGTTTTTTTCCCTGCCTGTTTCGCTGCATCAGTGCTTTTCTTACACTGTTTTCCTTTGACACCCGTCAGGCATCCTGATGCCTTAATGTATGAACGCTACCTTGACCGATTTCATAACCTCGCCTCTCCCGTTTACCTATAAGGACCTGGTGGGACATAAACAAGCACTCTCTCCTATAGACGAGACACGCTCCCAATTAGACCATAAAGCACCAGTAATGGGCTGACTCTTTTAAAAGGACTCCACAGGCCCGCTCTATATCTCCTTTAATGGTGCTGCCGGCCTGGTAGCGATGGGAAGCCCTCATCTCAAAGAAGATCCCACCATTCTAAATCATACGAAAGGTCAACAAACCCGTTCGGCTCCTTCTACTGCTCCCCACTTCCATTAGAAAAGGAATGAAAGGCGGAGGGGAAAATGAGAGCGAGAGAGAAATTTTATGTTTACAACCACCTCAGCATATTTCTCACCTGAGAGCACAAGTCCCCACGTTACCGCCCGACGTGAGGAAATAAAAAATTAAACGTGAGTGTATTATGATCAG